TTGGAGGTTGCTGTGAGCTGTGATGCCATAGCACTCTTCCCCAGGGGACAGCTTGAGGCTCTGTCTCAAAAAAAAAAAAAATACACCTGTCCTTTGATCAGCATCTTCATTACTGCAAATTTGTACCATAGAAGTAAAAGCAACAGAGTGCGAGGATGTGCATACTAGGATGTTTACTGCAATGTTTTCATAATAGAAAGCCTTGGGAAACAAGCTGTCTGCCCATGACTAGTGATTGAACACTCTCTTGACTTGAAGGATGCCCAAGATGTATGACATGAGAAATACAAAATGTACTGTGATGAGTACATAACCCTAATTGTATACGAGGGTAACTGTTATCCAAATGGTTAACTCGGGTAGGGATTATCAGATGATTAGTTGTTTTATAATTTGAAAAATACAAAGGAGATAAAAGCAGTATTTGACCCCCATCTGGTTTGAGACACTTGAGTCAGACAAAGGGGTGGGGCATCTCGGGTGTTAGGGTGATAGTTTGATAATGGATGATGGTGCTCAGTGAGTTACTCGGTCTTCACTGGTCAGGAAGGGGTCTCTCATTGTTGCACCCTTTTGTGTAGGTTACTACTCTGTCAGGTGTTCATTTAGACCAGTGTGTTTAAACCTTTTTTATCTCATTGCACGTTTTGAACCTATAGTTAAACTTCTATGGCACACTTAATGTTGATCAAAAAAACAGTAAAAAAGAAAATATACTTACTATGTTTTGAACTTCTTTTGAAAATAATTAATGATCTTAAAAAATTTTTGTGACACACCTAAGATCTTCATGGCACATCAGTTGAAAATCCCTGATTGATACTGTCTACATTGCAGCATTGTTTAATTCTGTGCCACATGGTGTTCATAGGTGAAGGTTGTTATCCTGGGACAGGATCCATATCATGGACCCAATCAAGCACATGGGCTCTGCTTTAGTGTTCAAAGACCTGTTCCACCTCCACCCAGGTACAGTGCTTTACAGATGGCTCCGGGCCAATCGTAATTCTTTTCAGATCTGTACTTTTCAAATTACAGGTGGGCTTCTTGGAGGGACTTTTACTAGCCTTGGGAGCAGGATTTCTCAACTTCAGCACTACTGACATTTGGGGCTGAGTTATGCTTCGTTGTGGGAGAAGGGATTGTCCCAAGCTTTGTAGGATGTCGGGCACCCTCCCTTTCCTCTACTCACTAGATGCCAGTCGAACCCCCCAGTTGTGACAATTAAATAGTCACAGACATTGCCAGAAGTTCCTTGGCAGAGAAAATTATCCCTGGTTAAGAACTGCTTTGGAGGGTTTTACATATATATATAAACATACAAAACTATAACTGAACATTAGTGTGTGGGGAGGAGGGAGTTGTAACTGTTGGGCTAATTAGCTGTTTCAAAGTGCTAGTCCTTAAATCCAAGCACAGACCAAAAGAAAGGTCCGTGGCAGATTTACCGGAAGGTAAACTGGTAGTGTTTATCATTAACTGGTGAAGTGTGTGCCCTTGTCCTTTCCAAGAGCTGGCTGTAACTTCTAACCTTTTCACATGTATTTTAGAGGTTACTGAGTTTTCAAAATTATACTTAATCTGTTTTTCTTCCTGCTTGCTTTTAGTTTGGAAAACATTTATAAAGAACTGTCTACAGACATAGATGGTTTTGTTCATCCTGGCCATGGAGATTTGTCTGGGTGGGCCAAGCAAGGTAAATCATCCACTGCTAGATGTACTTTGGACTGGTGCCAGCAGTCTTTTCTGTCCTGCTTGTTAATGTTTCGAAAGGGTAGCTATAAAGAATTAGCAAGAGCTAATAAAATAGGTGATTTATATAGTGAAAAGGTAGGTATCTAAGTTTTTATTCTGCAGCCAATGTTTTCTTTCATGTTTTAATTATAATTTGAAAGACAAGTGTACGAAAACATTTATCCACTTTGTTTGTTCAAAGACAAGGTTGCCCAGGCTGGAGAGCAGTGGCGTGATCATAGCTCACTGCAACCTTGAACTCCTAGGCTCAAGTGACCCTGCTGCCTCCTAGTAGCTGGGATTATAGCCATGTATCGCCACACCTGGCTAATTTAATTTTTGGGTTTTTGTTTGTTTGTATTTTTGTTTTTTTGAGACAGAGCCTCAAGCTGTCCCCCTGGGTAGAGTGTTGTGGCATCACAGCTCACAGGAACCTCCAACTCCTGGGCTCAAGCGAGTCTCCTGCCTCTGCCTCCCAAGTAGCTGGGACCATAGGCGCCCACCACAACGCCTGGCTATTTATTTATTTTTTTTGGTTGCAGCCACCATTATTGTTTGCCAGGCTGGGTTCAAACCTGCCACCTTGGGTGTATGTGGCTGGCGCCTTAGCCACTTGAGCCACAGGCGCCGAGCCCTAATTTAATTTTTGTAGGGATGAGGTGTCTGCTATCGTGTTTGCCCGAAAATAAGACCTACCCCCAAAATAAGCCCTAGCAGGATTTCTATGCATTTTAAATATAAGCCCTACCCCAATAAGACCTAGTGATGGTTGTGGCTGTGCATTTCCACACGGAGCAGTAAGGAAGACTAGAATACTTTTTATCTGCCAAAGCTCCTTTCTCTGAGCTATTCACACTTGTGCAGGTGTGCGTGTGGAAACCTCAGTCACACGCATCCTGTTTCGCACGTGTGAGTGGCTGGGGGAAAGGAGTTCACACATCACTAGCACCAGCCCCACCAACAAGGTCAGCTCCCCCTGTCAGGTTCCAGAAGAAGATGACTTAACTATATTTGAATAAATGTAGATTGTTGTATTATACTTAATAAAAATAAGACATCCCCTGAAAATATGCCCTAATGTGTCTTCTTGAGAAAAAATAAATATAAGACAGTGTCTTATTTTCATGGAAACACAGTATGTTGCCCAGGCTGACTGCTCATTTTAACATGTGATGGGCGTGTGTGTGTGTGTGTGTGTGT